CTTACACATTGTTAGTTCAATGTCTAATAGCACCTGGACTCTTAAAAACTCTAGCCCCAGCTGTTTGTGGGAAAACCAACTGCAACGGGCAGCACAGAGAATTCTGTCTACACTGTCACACCTTGAACTTGTGTTGCATGCAATCGCCTGACCTGCCAGAAAGCTCTGAAGCTGTCTCAGTTCAACACAGAGGCAAGCCCGTTACACATTGTTAGTTCAATGTCTAATAGCACCTGGACTCTTAAAAACTCTAGCCCCAGCTGTTTGTGGGAAAACCAACTGCAACGGGCAGCACAGAGAATTCTGTCTACACTGTCACACCTTGAACTTGTGTTGCATGCAATCGCCTGACCTGCCAGAAAGCTCTGAAGCTGTCTCAGTTCAACACAGAGGCAAGCCCGTGACAATCCCTTGCGTGGTCCACATTGTGCCAGGGCCCGGTGCTTCTTTTACGGTCAGGAATCTGAACGACATGCCCAGGCTTGATTCAAATGCTGCAACAAATGAGAAGCGATCGTTTGTCCCCAAAGGGTCCTTTAAAAAAAACCAACAGCCCTGTTCAAAGCATCTATCTGCACAGCACATCCCCCCCGGAGGCGTTCGTCTCAGGATGTTGAACTGTTCCACTTGAGCAGTCTACCAGACGGGGGCTTGTAGACTTCGTCTTTCATGACCGGGTTTATTACAAATCATGCTGCTTGCTGAGTATCTGCTTTTGTCTCTCGTGGGTAAGGATTTCACACCACCCGGCTTGGTCCGGATTGGAATTGAGAATGGAACCTTTTGCATTGGACACTGGCTTTCCTGATGTCTGGTAGCTTGGGACAGGTCTGCTAGGACGGAGATGATCTTCAGTTCACTTGTGCACAGTTTTAGTATGAGCTCCAGGGCTTTGGCGTACAGCTCAGAGATCCTCTGATGGCCTTTGATTTTGTTCTGATCTCTCGAGTTTATTGGGGGCCAGTGAAGATCTGCTGGAGGCTGACTCTAATAACGCGCCCTGTTTTATTCCTGCAGTGGTACAAGTGCGGCTATTTCTGCACCAGCCTCAGCCGTTCCTCTTCGTGCACATGAACGATATAGCCGAGATCCAGTGCTCTTCCCAAAATAAATTTTTAGGAGGCGGCGTTACAGTTCAGTGGTACAGGAGGCGAGACGCCGGGGCACCCATGTTAATTAAGAGATGCGCAGATAAGCAAAATGTAAGTAAAGCTGCTTGTATAGCTGAAGGAGACACTGTGACACTGAAAATCTACAATGTCCAAAGGGATGACTCCGGGGTTTATTACTGCGCCGATTCGTACGTCAGCTTCTTGGAGTTTGGCAACGGATCCACCCTGGTTGTTGGAGGTAAGGATGCAGAACTGGGTGTGCAGAAAAGAAATGGTGGGGCAATGCAGGCCGATTTCATGTGCGCAGGAACATGTTAAATGGTGGTGTCACAGTTATCAGAGGTATTAGAGGTCTATAAAATCGTGAGTGGTGCGGAGAAAGTAAATAAGGAAAAGTTATTTATTTGTTCCCATAATAAAAGAACTACTGGGCACCAAATGAAATTAATGGGCAGCAGGTTTAAAACAAACAAAAGGAAGTTCTTTTTCACACCGTGCACAGTCAACTTGTGGAACTCCTTGCCTGAGGAGATTGTGAAGGCTAGGACTGTAACAGGGTTTAAAAAAGAGCTAGATACATTCATAGAGGTTAAGTCCATTAATGGCTATTAGCTAGGATGGGTAAGGAATGGTGTCCCTAGCCTCTTTTTGTCAGAGGGTGGAGATGGATGGCAGGAGAGAGATCATGTGATCATTACCGGTTCTGTTTACTCCGACTGGGGCACCTGGCATTGGCCACTGGGGGTAGACAGGATGCTGGGCTGGATGGACTTTTGGTCTGACCCATTCTGGTCGTTTTTATCAAGGATCCCGTTGTTAAAACAGAGCCGCTCTGAAATCTGTAAGGAGCGAATACACCATCACTCATCTCAAAGAACAGAGCATCTATTTTTGCACAACGGAAAATCAACCACTGAAGCCTGAGCCATGTGTGAATAAACAACATATTGGCATTAAGAGGTGTTCTTAGAACTACCCCAGTGTCTAGGTTAGCATGGAGTGTCCCTTCTGCAAATGTGGCTTTGGGTTTGGCTGGCTATCATTCCGTTTTATTCTTCACATTTTCCCTGTTTGCTGCTTCATCTTCTGCCATTAACCGTTAACTCCAGCTGCGGCTCGGCTGCGCGTCACATTAAACTCTCTGCTTTATTCTGTCAAGACAGCTACACCTCCAACACTTGGGTGCTGTCTCTGGCTCCATCTCCCAGCAGCCTCCTCGCCAACGGGACGGCTCATCTGGCCTGCATGGTCCTCGGAGTCTCCAACCTCGTCCAAATCTCCTGGAATATTTCTGGGGAGCTGCAGGAGCCAAGGGTCCCATGGACACTGAAAGCAAAGGACGGCTCCTTCGTGTTCATAAATCTCATCAGCGTCCCCGTGGACACCTGGGCCAGCGGGAAGATTTTCACCTGTGACGTCAAATTCAACTCCTCTGGCAGGAGCGTGAAGAGAATTGCCAGGTACCCGGAAGGTGAGTCACTTTCTGTTCGCTCCTGGGCAGTAGGAGAAAAAGCACAATGAGCGCTTGACGCATCACTAGGACTCCTAGACACTCTGGTGATTATGGCAACAATCGAACAGACGTGGGAAGTGTTCATAGTCAGAGCTATGTTAGTGTCCCTTGCAATCAGAAAGTGGGGATGTCGGGTGCTAGTTAGGTGCAGTAGAGACCGACAGGATTCCGGCCCCTGGGCAAAGTACAAGGGGGCTCCCAGAAGGGGCGGGGCTTCGGGCAAAGGGGGCGGAGCCTCAGGCGAAAGGGGCAGGGCCTCAGGCAGAAAGGGCGGGGTTTGGGCAGCCAGCCTTTAGCACCATCTGGAGTGCATTGTGCAGAGTCCCCTCCCCTCAGGCAGTCCTCAGCACCACCCGGAGTGTGGCAGCCAGGTGCAGCAGGCCCTTTTGAATCATCGGGCCCCGGCACAATTGCCCCCTGTTCTGCCCTCTGTCCGTGACCCTGAGGAGCAGGCGGCTCAGCAGAGAATTTCGGGAGAGGAGCAAAGAGGAACTGCAGTGCTCTGTAATCGTCATTAGACACTTCCACACCTGGGCTTCGTCTACTCTGTTTGTTTGTTGCAGAAGAGGAAATGCAAAGGAAGTGCTCATTTGCATCTCTTGAGATCCTTTTTGTGGAAGTGGATTTTGTGATAAAAAGCCCCGTGTAAACTGTGTAGTTGGACTCATCTGGCCTTGCTTGGGAAACTGGAGGAACAAAATTTAGGAAAGGAGGGGACCCTGAGCCAGGGAACCCCCAGAGCCACAGACCCTGGGGGCTGATGGCTCCTGGCCCACACCTGACTCTCTGAGAGCAGCAGGACCCTCCTCCCCCCAGGACCGAGCAACCAGCCCCAGGAGAACAGTACACAGTCATGCGGCCAGTAGCAAGGGGACTTCTCTTAACAAACTGTGTAGATGTAGCCCAGGTGTGCCAGTAAACACCCTCCAGAGTGAAATAGCAAGCAGTGTCGCTGGGGGGGAGGGATAGAGAGGCGTGTGCGGGAGAAGGGGGCTGTTTTCCTGTGAGCTACGGGCAAGTGAGACGAGAGCCAGCGGCCGGGGGGTCTCGGTACAACATCAGCCTGTTGACTCGGGCACCACACTGAGGGCAAAAGATGCTAAAGGCTCCTGTGGCCTCATCTTCCTCTATTCAGGCCAGGGGGGAAACAGGAGCCGGAGGGAAGGGCTGGACGCGGTGGCACCACAAACCTCTTGGCTTCAGCCACTTGTGTCTGACTTGTAGCTTCCTCCACAGCCCCGGCCAGGCAGTGCTCACATCACACCGTGCCCCTGGCAGCTGCAGCTGGGCTGCTGCTGCTGTCGGTGTCCCTGAGCCTCGTCTGGACCCTCTGCCCTTCCAGGCTAGGTAAGAAACAGCCCAGCCTCTTCCCCGCAGAGAGAAATCCTGCCCCGGCTTGCTGCTGGGGGCTGCAGCTGCCCTGTCCAAGCGGCAAGCTACGTCTAGACTACAGGCTTTTGTCGACAGAGGCTTTGTCGACAGATAGGGTACGTCTAGACTACACCCTTTGCCAACAGAAGTTTTCTGTCGACCAAGAGCGTCTAGACTACATCCAGTTCGGTCGACAACATGAGCCGCGTTGTCGACATGAGAGTGTAGACGCAAAGCACAGTGTGGATGCAGTGACGCCTTCTGTAGACGGAAATCTGTCAACGTTCTGTCGACAGAACTCGGCGGTAGTGTAGACGCAGGTATAGTTTTGTCGACAAAACCCTGTAGTCTAGATACACCCCAAATGTCACCCCTGCCAGGACTGGTCCCAGAACGTTTGTCTCCTGAAAGTTGGTTTTCCTGTGTCAGGAGAACGGCTTTGTTCTTGGTGACAAGGCAGCAAGGCAGAAACCCTTCTCCTGCCCATGGCCCGGGCACCTGTCTATAGCTCACAAAGAGCACTGGCCTTTCGGACCAGCCTCTCTGCATTGGCCAGGCAGGGTGGTGCTCAGGGCCTCCGCAGCTTGGCTGCACCGTTAGTCAGGGAAGTGCAGCTGGGGAAGCATTGGTGGAAGAAGAACTTTTACTCTTGTCTTTGTCTGTTCCAGGATGCCAGCCCCGCATCTCAGCACCTCCAGCTTCCCGGGAGCACCAGGTACGGTTCTTCCCAGCTCCGTGTGTGCCTGTTTCTTATAGCTGTGTTACCCCTGTAGCAGCGAAACAAGGAGGGTGAGGTACTACCTGTGATGGGAGCAGCTACTCTTGGGGCTCGTCTAGAATATCTCCCTCTTTCGAAAAGAGGGATGTAAATTAGGCAGATCGAAAGTGCAAATGAAGCATGGATTTAAATATCCTGCGCTTCATTTGCATATGTGCATCAGATAGCTCTGTCAAAACAGGGTATTTTGAAAGTGAAGCCGCAGTTCTTTCAGGGAAAAACCCCTTTTTTGAAAGATCCCCTACTCCTCATTTTTTCAGGAGTACAGGGTCTTTCTAAAAAGGTTTTTTTTTTTTTTAAAGAACCGCGTCTAGACTGCTGTTTCACTTTCGAAATACTCTTTTTCGAAAGAGCGATCGGATGCACATATGCAAATGAAGCGCGGGAGGTTTAAATCCGTGCTTCATTTGCACTTTCGATCTGCCTAATTTACATCCTTCTTTTCGAAAGTGGGATGCAGTCTAGACATAGCCTTGTTGAGGAAGGCAGGTGCTGGTGCTTAGAGAGAGCTCTTCGTCAGGGCTGGGAAGTGGACTCGGTATCCATCAATGTGGGTCCGAGGCATTTCTAATCCACCCACTGAACTTGTATATTTCACTCTTAAACGGATTGGCTTTGGAGTGAAAGTGAAGCTGAGATCCCGCTGTTGGAGTAGCCGGAGTGGAACACAGGGCGTTAATGCTAACTCTGGTGCCAATTTACTGTGGGCAAGTCCCATACTTGCTCTGGGACTCAGTTTCCCTTTACACAGGTAGAGGATATAACAACCCTTTTTGGGTCAAAGATGAGGGAGCGATCAATGTTTCTGACTTGTACCCGTGTCAGGCTTTGGGGTGCATCGGGGAGCATTTTTGGCACTTCTATAAAATAATAAAAGAAATTATAAATATAAACAATATGAAGATTTTTCTAGTGAACAGTGCTTCGGGCCCGATCCAAAGCTCCCTATTCTTAGTAGGAGACTGTCCATTTATATCAGGGGTTGGATCTGGACAATATTGTCAGTAGCTGAGTTCTTAAAGTCAGAATCAGCAAGGGGTTCATTCTGATAACACACCCAGTGTGTAGGTCAAGCAGGGGAATCCGAGGTGAGAGGGAGTTTTCCATCAGGCTACACTCGTTTGCCTGCTCAGTCCTGTCTCAGCTTGTATCCCCTTAGTTTACAAGGCGGGTGGCTAATTTTACTGACTGTCACCGAACAGAGTGGAATCGTCTACGCTCATCTGGATTTCGATTCGCGGAATCGCAGCGGGCGCACGCTGCCACGATCGGCCAGAGGGAAACGTGCAAAACCCTGAACTATCCAGTGCAAGAGAATCCGCACGTGGGAACTGACAGCTGGGTCTCTGCTGACTGGACGTAGCCGCTGGCAGAAGGCTCTGTCTGCCTCCCTTTCCTTGCTTTTTCTCCTCTTCTCTGGTTAGAATATGCAGAGCCCAGCCTCACCAGGTGGGAAATCTCCATTGGGGATATTAAGGCTTCCTGGTGTTGGTCATTTACACGTCATGTGTGTGTTAGACTGGAAGCTCTTTGGGGCAGGGACTGTCTCTTTGTCTGTGTTTGTGCAGCGCCTGGCGCCACGGGGCCTGGACCATAACTGGGGCTGCTGGGTGCTATGGCAACACAATCATTGTCGTCATCACCCTCCTTCCCCCATCTGCAGGGGGACCTGGACACAGCTGAACCCCTGCAGCTGCATGTGACTGCCACAGCTCTCAGCTCCCCTGCAGTCGTGGACTTGCTTTTTCAGTAACGCCCCATGGACGTGCCGGGGGAGTCTGCAGGGGAAGGGCGGATGCGGGAGCAGCTGGGAGGGGCAAGAACCTCTCCCCAGACCGGTGCTGGAGCTGCTTCTGCCATGCAGCCTCTGCAGGCAGCTGCTTTCCCCCCAGGGCGAGATCCACAGGGTTCAAGTGCCGGCCCCTGTGCGCCATCTAACAACAACAACCCGTCACCCACGGCTGGAGCTCTCCCAGTGCCCGAATCTCCCCGCGCTGCCTGTTTACATCCCAATTTGGTGTTCTTCGAGCTGTCACTGTGTCCCTCATTAAAAACAGATGGCGACCCAGCTAGTGCTGTGTGTGTCACCTTTTTTACCAGTTCAATGCACTCAGCTCAGCTCACTGTGCAATAAGAAAGGCGACCACTCAAATCCCCTGGGCCAGATTCTGCTCTGATTTGGGGCAGCGTTAATCTGGAGGAGATCTGGTGTAGTCAGTGGAGTTACTCCAGTTTTACGCCAGTGTCTTTGGCCACGGCTACACTACATGGACGATCCACTCGAGGTTCGATTTAGTGAGTCTAGTAAAGACCCACTAAATCGAAGTCAGAGGGCACCCTCGTCAGTGACGGTTCTCCTGCTCCTCACGAGGAGTGAGAGAAGCCAACGGGAGCATTGGCTCCCATTGACCGCCAGTTGTGTGGATGGTGATTTAAGATACGTCGACTCCAGCTACGTATTTAATATATCGGAAGTTTCATATCTTAAGTCAACCATCCCCTTTAGTGCAGAATTTGAGAGCAGAATCCTTAGAGAGCAGAATTTGGCGATTTCTATCATTCTTGGCACCTGTGCTTCTTTTGATGGATACAATAAAAGTGTTACACAGCACTTGTTACACACTCACCTTCCAATATGGGGAATGAGGATCAATTCTTCTTCCTGTCCACTGAAGGCAGGAGAAGACGTTATGGGCTTAATTTGCAGCAAAACTTCTAAATGGAGTTCAGTTCTGGAACTAAAATGCAGGACAATTTCCAAGGGAGGTACAGAATCCCCAGCATTGGAGTTTTTAAGTACTAGTTGGACAAACACTTGGCAGGAATGTGAGGTGGGGGCTCAGCTCAAGTCACCCAAAAGGGGTGGGGCATCATATGGAAGGGGAGGAGCTAGGGGCTAGCCTCCCCCAGTCAGCCCTCAGCACCGCCTGGGAATATAGTGGTGACTTACAGGGCCTGGCCAGGGTTCCAGCCACTGCTGTCACCATGGTACCAGTGATGGTGGCCTTGGACCCTTGCCCTTTTAAATTTCTGGACCCCAGGACAACTGCCCCCTTTGCCTCCCCTCTCCCTGGCGGAGGCCTTATTTTGAAGAAACATTTCTGTGTCAGAAAATGCCCTTTTCTTGGATATTTTCCTGGGGTGGGAGTGGGGGGGGGGAGGGGATATCAGCTTTGATTAAACTGTTGACTTAAAAAAAAAATTCAAAACTGAAAAATAAGCCATTCCGAATCTCGATTTCAAAATGGCGTCTTGCAGAGAAGCGTAAACTAATTACAGCTGACATAACAGTGAACCGGGTCAAAACTATATAGGATCCGAATGGAAAGGAAACATCCCAGATTATTGAAACAAAACTCTTCCCTTCTCCAAAACCAAAACCGATGTTTGGAGGTTTGGTGCAAGGGAAATGTTTAGGGTTTTGATTATTTCATCCCACTTCAAGACGGGGAACTCTTTCGGTATCTTACCAATGTGCATGGGATGGGAAATCCATCTTCTCTCCAGCCCCAAGGAGTACACGAGTGTAAAATGTAGCTGCAGTGGGCTACGTTGCTCCTTTTCACTGCCCCGCCCCACCCCCGCCGTGGATGGAGACATTCCTATACACAGCATAAAGTATATGCTGGGACATGCTGGGTATCTAGAAGACTCAGCAGCGTCATGGGGAAGGGTGGGCACTCAGCTGCTCTTAGGATCCGCACCTACCTCCACTTCCTAACAATCTCTGTACGTTGCCAAATATTGAGCTGGGGTCCCTGGAGCAATAAGGCAGAGTTCCATTGTCAAGCGGTGTTCCTTGGAGGTCTGTACCAGTCACTGTCTCTCTTTCTCTGCTGGGGAGATACTGGGTCTGAAGACAGTGACGGTTTCTAGGGTCTGATCTGCATGGCTGCTGACAACACGCAGCCCCATAGCAGTGATATATGAGAACATAAAAGTATAATCACCAAGGGGTCTGATTTCCATGTGCACTAAGCCCCTTTCCATGGGGGCCTGGGAGTGTGATTGATGCTCCTACAAACTCCCCTTTACATTGGGGCAAAAGGGAAGTTGGGTGATTGTGAGTCATGCCCTGGGTTAGAAATCAGGCAGCATCTTGGTCAGTCCAGCCTCCCTTCATCAGCGAAACACCTGCTTCCCCTTAACACTGCCCCAGACAGTGGGAGGCTAGGAAGGAAAGAAGGAATGTTGATTGGTTGGTGGGATGGGGTGGGTTGGTTGGTGAGTTGATGGGTTCATTGGTTGGTGGGGTGGGTTGGTTGGTTGCTGGTTGGTTGGGTTGCATTGAGGTGGGTAGTTGGTTGGAGAGTTGGGGTTGGTGGATTGGGGTAAGGTTGGGTTGGCTGGTTGGTAGTTGGTTGGGTTGGGTTGGGTTGAGGTGGGTTGCTTGCTTGAAAAGTTGGGGTTGGTGGATTGCGGTGGGTTTGGTTGGTTAGTTGGTGGGGTTGGTTGGGTTGGGTTGATTGGTTGGAGAGTTGGGGTTGGTGGATTGGGTTGGGGTTGGTTGGTTGTGAGGGTTGGTTGGACAGTTGGGGTTAGTGGATTAGGGTAGGTTGGTTGGTTGGTGGTTGGTTGGAGAGTTGGGATTGGTGGATTGGGTATGGTTTGGTTGAGGTGGTTTGATTGGTTGGAGAGTTGGAATTGGTGGATTGGGGTGGGATTGTTGGGTTGGGTTGAGGTGTGTGGGTTCGCCCGAGAGTTGGGGGTTGGTGGATTGGGGTGCCGTTTGGTTCAGGTGGGTGGTTTGGTTGGCTGGTTGGAGAATTGGGGTTGTTGGATTAGGGTGGGGCTGGTTGGTTGGTTGAAGAGTTGGCATTGGTGGTTTGGAGTGAGGTTGATTGGTTGGGTTGAGGTGAGTGGCTTGATTGGAGGATTGGGGTTGGTATGTTGGAGTGGGCTTGGTGGGTGTGGTGGTTCCCAGCATTTGAGAGCTGCCGGGAAGAGGTTTGTAATAGATTTATCCGGGAGAGCTGCAGCCAGTCAGTGCACCCTCAAAATGGGGCCTAGGCTAAGGAGATATTTCCAAGGCATCTAGGGAACCTGGTCATTTCTGAATCACTTGCTTTAAACACTAGCCCATATTATCAGCTGTTTCAGAAGGGTAATTGGCAGATGCACTTTACTTCTCCCTCCCTCCTTTGTGCAGCCTGATGCAGCTTATTAACCAGCCCCTGTTTAGTTTGTTTTTAACCAGTTTATTGCCACATCCAAGGGGAGGCAGGTGAGGCGTGTAATTTCCACTGAATTCAGTAGGAACGAGCCCCAGCCAGTTTCACTGTGTTCGAAAATCCCATTTGGCCCCCGTCTGCATTAATGGGCACCTGGATACTTTTAAAAATCTGGCCCAAAGTCACTTTTCAGAATGGGGCTTGGGCGCTTTTGAAAATCGCATCCTTCCTTGTCTGGTGAGAAGCCAAATGGTTGCTCCTGATCAGCATCGTATCACCAAGAAACACGGTACAAGGACAGGCCAAACATGGGACTGCTGCTTCTACGTCAGGCAGGGCATTTTTCCATTTCTATGTAGGAAACATTGTGTTAGTTACTGGAAGTTGTTTCAGTTTCTTATTAAACATTAAAGAACATCCTTGTGCCACTGGAATGCAGAGAAATGCTGCAAGAATTACAGAATTCTCTGTAGATTCATTAACAACCTGCCAGGCCCAGCCCCCCATATCGATCACTACAGCCCATGCCTCTCGGAGGTGTTCCTCCCTGTAAGTGACCAAGATGCTGTGTAGTCACTGCAGCAGTGCACAAGGCATCAGACGTTTGGCTAGCAAGTCAGGACTTTCCTTTATTTAATTTTTTTTACTACAATGATCTTTGCCGAGTGTCTGATTTTATCTTCCTTAGGTAAAACATCTGCATTAAGCTTTGGAATTGAGAACACAGCCTCAATAGGACACCCGTGTTGAATACATAGGAGATCTTTTTGAAATGTTCCTGGATTTTAATTGCATTTCCCTTTCCTTGTAATACAGTTATACTCAGGTTTTTGGCATTTAAGCTGCAGAGCGTAGATGTTCTCAGATGTAGTCATTTCTATTGCTGCGCTACCCATTCCCTCAGTGGCAAATGGAGACCAGATGGAAACTGACCATAACCATGTTTTCTCTCTCCAGTGCTAGGCATACAGTTATTTCTGTACCCGCCTCAGCTGATCCAGTTTGTTGAAGTCGGTGACACTGCAACGATCCTCTGTTCCTTCCAGAAAATATTGGAAGGAGGAGAGGAAGTGTTTTGGTATCTGAGAAGAGAAGGGGAGACACTCACATGCTTTAAGAAGTGTTTCAATGATCAAGATGTAAGTAAATTTGTCTGCAAGCACGAGCCACACGGCACGACGCTGAAAATCAACAACCTCCAACGGAATGAGACTGGAGTTTACTACTGTGCGGTGACAATTACCAGCTACCTGATTTTTGGGAATGGATCCACACTGATTGTTGGAGGTAAGGAACCAGAGCTTGTTTAGAGAAACTAACAACTGACTGACAAAGTGTATGTCAACGTTCCCATGCAATGTAACTGTTGGGTCTGGGATAGCGGTACGGAGTTCAGCCACAATAGGCAATACCCTTGAACATGTTCTTTCCCTTCATTTTTGCAGCCTAGAAAAATAGATAAGCATCTGGCCGCTCTACTTTGTTGTGTCTTTTGCTTATTCTCATTGGCTCTCTATAAAATATCTTCAGGGTTAAATTTCTTGTAATCTCTGTAACCTGCTGATTTAGAAAGTTTGTGGTGTAAAAAAGTGTTGATTTAATTAGAAATTCTGTAAATAGTAATTAGGTGGGTATAATTGTATTCATTATTTGCTTATTAATATTCATTTTATGGGAGTTAACATTACTAAATAAGGTTTTAGGAAAAGTAGCGATAGGCGTGTGAATTAACATACTAAAATAGACACAAGGGTATAATTGGTGCCAGGTTGTTGCCACTTGGACGTTGTGTTGAATGTCCGAAGTAAAATTGCGTGGGCAATAAAGCAGTTCCGTTTACCACATCCGCTCCTGGGTTGCCTGTTTCTTCTCTAACAAGATCCCAG